AAATGATATCTTTTCCAAAAAAAGCATGCCCGAAATTTAAAAAAAAAATCTAAATTTTCAATGTTCGAGGGGCTTTATTTAAAAAAAATGAAGTCAATGACAGGCATAAATATAAGAGATAGATTTTTATAAATTTAAAAAGCTATATCCAAATGTTTATGTCATTAGAGATTGTATCATATGATAGGTGTATGTTCATAAATTAATTCTTTATAGAAACCATAAAGGACTTACCAAATCTTACACAAGAAGAAAAGTCCAATACAACAACATGAAATGATAACAAGAAGACAAGTGGCTCCAGCAATGATCCATAGCTTATCCTTCAGAAAGTCCTCTATCTTTTTCTCAATACTGATATGGGTAGTGTTTTTATGTGTATCAGGCTGGGTAGTGGTGTTATTCTTTAAGGCTGGAGTTTTGTCAGGGTTATTCTCTGTATAAACTTGAATGTATATTGCATATTTAAGTGTAATGTAATCTGTATAGTTTTAACCATCATATAGCTATATATATATTATATAATATGTTTTAAGATATTACAAATCTGAGCGGTAACTTCTGTCAATCAGTGAATCCATACACAGTATTTGATTTCAATTACCCTGACATTCCCCTGTTGATTTGCTGCAGTTGCTGGCACATTCAGATGGACATAATTTCCTACATCTACTTCCATAACGACCTTCAGGACATTCTTCACTACAGTTACTACTGTATGTTCCAGGAGGGCATTCTATGAATAGTAATAAAATATATAATGCATATCAATAAGTTCTAAATAATTGTACTGACATTGCTCATCAATGGGTATTTGTTCAAATTATATATAAAATGTACCTATGGATTTTCAATGTTAACAAAAGTTCATCAATTACAAAGATATTTTTAGCTTTACCAAGTGGCAGCTCTTACATGCATGACTTCCCCTGTATTGCCAATTTAAACGATTTTATCTAGAGAATATTTCTACTCTACGATAAAACAGAAGAAATCGACAATTGTTTGTAGTTTTGAAAATTATTAAGATTTGTATTTTCTTGCTTTACATAAAACTATGATGGATAGGAGCGCAGTTGCAATTGAGAAAAAACATTTTAACAACACTTCTTATTTTAATAACTAAATGTTACCTGTACATGTGTTGTTGTCATAGAAATAATCCGCGCAGCATAATTCAGGACTGTAAAATAATAGCAAAATTCAAAGTTTCTTCCGATTAGTACCCAAAAACAAGAAAAAATATGACCTTTACAAAAATACTTTTCCCATACCCACACATGTTTGGAACGTTTGTGACAGCTAGATGGGCGACACGGAGGAACAAAACAAAAAACTGAACGTCCATTTTCATTTCTGGTAAACTTATTTCAGTGACTGCTTCCTGATTATTAATTCTAATTTCTGACGTTTTAAAATTTTTATTTTTAACAACCAGGAAAAAATATCCTTCTTCTTATCTGATGCAATTGAAGTATTGTATTTATCATTATAGAATATTTCAAAAGTATGTATCATGAAAACATTTAAATGAAACATATTTAAAAAAAAAAAGAAAAAAAAGATTTTGCAGTACACATACGAGGGCCGTTCAAAAATTACGCGGACTTGTTGCACTGAAAAAATATTTGACGACATAATCGGGCAAAATGTCACACATAATATAAAAGAATCTTTACTTATATGGTCTTCAAAATTTCATATCAAAATGTTGTAAATTGGTATCAATTTTGGGTGATTTATCAGGACATATCATTAAGTCACGGAGCAGCAAAATCTTCGACGTCACGGGCATTATAAAAACATATTAACTTTCATTTTCTCAACATTTTCCATAGAGTACATGTACAGTTTGAGTTACCTACTCAACATTCAAACACCATTTCTTGTCAAGCTTAAAATCTATTAAACAAGCAAAGAATGTTTTTTAGTTTTAAAACCAAAAAATGAAAGTATTTATGAGATAAAGTATGATAGTAATGACTCTCAATCACGTTCTTAACAATCCAGATAATGCTTTCGTCGATAATCTTCTTTCCGTCCTCCCGTATAGCCTTTTGACAGAAGTCTAACGGTCTAAAATTTCAATTTGCTTTGTGTGGACGAATATCACGAATAATTTAGTTTATTACATGTTTAATTATGCATATTTTGGATCTATGTTGGCGAGATCTCGAGCATCACACATAATTTAACAAAAGTGTGGTGCGCCGTCAATTCAGGAGACGTCATTTTCACAGTCATTTTCACGGGAATCGCGTCAGAGAAAAATCACTATATTTCTGTTAGTACTTTAAATATCACCTCAGAAATCTTTAATGCATATTAATAGAACAATTTAAAGATACATTTGAGAAAATTGTCGAAAACTATAGAGAACTATAGAAAATTAATGAGTTAAATTATGGATTCCGCATGCTTTTGCTTCAAAATCTTTGTCTTGCTCCGTACCTATCCATCAGCGATATCAAGATACCGATGATTTTAGTAGAATTTGTTTAGAATACAGAAATTGTGTCCAAAATTTATTGAAATCTTTCAGATACATATTTCTGTGAAATTTCATAACTGTATGACGTCTGTAAGAGAAAATAATTGCACAGTCCGCGTAAGTTTTGAACTGCCCTGGTATTTCACTAAATTTCACTTGTACACTTTCTTCAAAAACATATGAAATGAGTTTATTAAGTATATTTGACTCAATTATAAATTGTAATAATTGACAAGGTCATGTATAGACCAAAGAACTCAAAGAATAAAAATTAATAAGATTCACAGATTTTAAAAAAAAATTCAGAATTGAAGGCTATATGGGCCAAAAGATGAAAGAATAACCTAAATGAAAATTTTTGTTATAAAATAAATCGTTTTATTGTTTGAAAACGCAAACAAATAGGGTTGAATAAAACAAGCAATGTCTATACGTTCTTGAATATTTTATTATAAAGATTATTTGGCTTAAACTTCTCAATCCTGGCTGTGCATTAGATATCTTTCCGATTTAATTTTTGTATCTGTTAAGCTTCACCGTTTTCACACACAAAAGATTATGAATTTACAATTCCCTGTACTTTTTTCTTTAGAATTGTAGATGTATTAAATTATGCGGTGTTTTGATATACATATATTTCTTACTCGGATCCTGTATTGAATGTAAAACCATTTATTTACTAAAATGTTATCCAATTTCTTTGAAAGGGTATACATCGTTCATTAGATTTTGTTTACTTGGAACAGCGTATGTTCGGCATTGATATTTGAACAGGTAAATTTGTTCATCTAGGACTTCAGGTCTTTTCCTTTCTCTGGCAGGTGTTTGGGTCAATTCAAAATTTGTCAAAAATAGTATCAGAAGGATATGGAGATAACGAACAGTATATTCAATATCAAAGTCCAAAACAATTCAAAATAAAAGCAGAGTAAACACGGACCCCAGAAACATCAGAGGTGGGATTAGGTACCATGGAGGAGTGAGCATCCACTGCTGACCGGTCACACCCACCGTGTGCTCCTTGTCATGATCGGGAAATAACGGAGAAAACCGTCAATTCAGTGTATAAATAATGGACTAAATAAATTAGTATGAAAAACTTCAGATTATGAATGCCAAAAAGGGGACGAAAAGAACTCTGTATACGCTATTTATTGGTTAAAAGTTGTCGATATATGTGAAATTTAAAATCGAGTTAAAGGCCACGGCAAGCGATTAATTTTTGTTGGATTTGTAAACAATTGAATAAATTCTGCTTTAAAGTATATAAATGACAAAAGGATAAGAGTCTTAATTCAAATCTCAAACAGCAAACGGAAGCAAGAGTACCTAGATCTACTGTCCGTCGTTTAGACATCAGTTACATTAAAGGTTATAGGCCGTATTCAAAAGGATTCTTTAAAGGTGTATAATGTACCGAAACCTTACTGCACATCTACATGACACCTCCAACCATATCCCAAAAGATGCACATGGGTGATATTTAGGCAAGTAACGAAAGATAAAATATCCTTTTTCCTTTCCTGCTTATTTTCACACTTCCTTGTTAGATTTTCATCCTTCAAACAACCAGGAAAAAATAGAATCCTTCCCTATTTGAAAGTTATAATTAGATACTGTACACTCAAAGTATATCTTTTATGTGTTCAAATTATTATTCGTGACTTTTGAGTACATTAATAATAAAGAAAAAGTAAATTCTTGTTTATTTTGCTTATTTTTAGTAATTTCAGTCATTTCTAGAATAAAGAAATTGTTGTTATTTGGAATAAAAAGCAATATTAAAGGTTTAGATTTTCTGTTTATTTATACTTGTCAATTAATCAAGCATCAGTTCGCTCTTAATTTCAAAATGCAGCAATGACAACAAAAGCATCGTTTTGTTGTTTCTTGTAAATTTACTTAACTCGTCATTGGTCTTTTGCAAAATTATTTTAATAAAACATATTCTGATTGCACACACAAGTACTCTGAAGTTGACATCAAAGAGATGCTTGAGTTTCTGATTGACAATATCTGTGGTTTTTGGAGACCAGGTGTTCCAATAATCTATTTGAATTCCCATGGGTACCAATTGCACTCCGTTATAAGCAGACCTATTTTTAAATTCATATGAAGCAGAATTTGTGCAAAATGCGTGAAAAGAATAAAACACTTGCTGTGGTCTTCAGCTCGACATTTAGATATATCGACGACGTATTGTCAATTAATATTTGTACAAAATATCCTGGTTAGCTTGAGATAAAAGATACCACGGAGTTTGACACTTCTGCTTCATACTACATGTAGGATATTTTGCTTGAAAATGACGTTAATAGTAATATAACAATCAAACTGTATGATAAACGTGATGACTTTAACTTTTCTATCGTCAATTTCCCTTACTTATCCAGCAATATACCTTCATAACCTGCATACGGCGTGTATATATCTCAGATGATTCGATACGCAAGAGCATGCTCTACGTAAGAACAATTTCTAAAATGAAGTAAATTATTAACAAGCAAGTTGATGAAACAAGAACATCGGCAGTCTCGTTTAGAGTCATCATTTTCGTAATTTCGATGGTCGATACAATGACCTTGTCAGCAGATACAATTTATCATTGAGACAAATACTGACTGACGTTTTTCATACTAATGGTTAGTCCATTATTTATACACCTAATTTACGACGGGTTTTTTCGTTATTTCCCGATCATGACAAGGAACACACGGCGGGTGTGACCGGTCACCAGGGGATACTCACTCCTACATGGCACTAGATCCCACCTCTGATGTTTCGGAGGTCCGTGTTTGCTCTGCTCCTATTTTGTATTGTTTTATGGACTTTGATATTGAGTACTGTTCGTTATCTCCATATCCTTCTTCTTTTGATCGTTTCTAAAATTGTATAAATGTGTTAATAATTCGTCTGATGTTTTGAACAATATAGTATTGTTCTGACAATGGTGCTCAGACTGCAGCTGCGCCATCAGATGAACTCAACCAGTGACTTCTCAAATGTTAATATTTTAAAATTATCACGTCAGTAGCTACAAAGAAGTAGGTTTGTTGCCAGTCTTCTTTTGAAGTTAATTGGTAGTTTGCACTTACCAAATCTTGCAAAAATCTCTACAGTAAAGTGTGGCTAAAATGTTGTTATTGTAAATATTCTATATCTGGTTCCAATACGTTTGCTTCAACCTGCAAAGAGCCAATATTGCAAAATCAGATATCTGTGTCAGTGAATAAGTGCACTTTACA